AATTAAACTTCACGACGAGTTAGAAAATAATAAAGTTTTAAATTTTTTGGATCTTAAAATAAGCAACATTGAAAACAGATTGAATTGGTTTATCAAACATCATACTGTTTTATTTAAATTTAATCTTGCAGCATGTATTTTACAAATTTTAAATTTTCATAATAAACAATTTTTACATTTTTTTCAACAATTTTCTGATATAAGGGTACTAAAATTTTACGTCATCGTAAAGAGAACAAAAATCTCTATCAAATTAGCCTAAGGAAAGGGTACATTGCCATTTAAAAAAGTTCAAGTGTTATTCGTTGCTCATTTGTTTTCTGAAATAAAAACAATTGAATGCTGTCTTATTATGGCAAATAAAATATTAAACAACTTTTGTATAAATGTTTTTTCATAAAATCGATACCTACCAAGATATATACTATATTCCATACATAATGGGCACGTGTATTTTCTTGCATACTTTGATAGAGGAGAGATAGAGATTTATCTCTATGCGATGAACATATCAAATCATATGTTTGTATAAGAAAAAAATCCAGAAAAAATGCATTTTCTTAAAATATTAAATCAGCAAATTACAATAAAAGGGCCGAAATAACGCCGTTGACAGCTTTAAATGCCAAAAAAATGACACTGAGATTTTGTTGAGTTTCAACAATTATGAAGCGTCATTGGTCTTCGGCCGTCCACTTTTTGGAACGTTTTTAACACTTCCAGTGTTAAACAATTTTTTTAATATTTTGGATACTGTGAACCCATACATTATTAATATTTGGATTCTTTGTCGTTCGCTTAATTGCACCATATTTGTTTAAACTGTCAATTTTTTTGACATTTAAAGCTGTCAACGGCGTTATTTCGGTGCCTATTTTGATTGTAATTTGCTGATTTCATATTTTCAGAGAACGCATTTTTTCTCGATTTTTTTTTATACAACTATATGATATGATATGTTCATCGCGTAGAGGGGTTTATCGTCTAGTTTTTCCAAAAAAAAATAATAAAGTTAGAAATTACAGGCCGCGAATTCAGTAGCGCGTCACTCAGATTTGAGCGTACGATTGGAGCGTATAAAAATCAATAAAATTCCTGGAGAGAGACAATGCTACGAATCTTATGCGCTAGAAGAAAACAGAAGAAAACGGGAGAGAAATCACGTCTGTGATTTCTTTCTTCTTACTTAAAACGTCACAATGAATCAGGGGTGGGGAATTTTAAAGTTTTACATTAATTATTGCAAAAATTAAACAATTTTCGAACGTGAAAACGTTATTAATCCATCTAATTTAATTTACATTATCGACTTTTTGAAAGATGGTCTTTCTAATCGATTGACCTTAACGGCCCTATTAATAAAGAATTTTTTATTTAGAACATTTTTCTTTAAAATTACACGTGGCGAAATTATTGGCTATAATATCTTGTATCTATGTGGTTCTGCACATCCTTACCCTCAAAAAATAGCAAGTTTTCGTTATTTAATTAATAGAGCATTAGATTATCCACTCTCAATTAAAAATCGTCTTTAAAATTTAATTTTATTTATTGCTTAGCTAGATAACTAGAGACCAAATTTTGGCATTCTAAACCTTTCCTCTCGAAAAAAAGAGGTACTTTTTGAGAACCATCTTCAAAGGGCTCTAGCGCCCTTAGGAAGCATTTTCGGACCGGACTTTATATAAACATTTCGTCATGATTTTTGATGTAGAATCACCTCTTTAAATACATATATGTATAGACGCAATTTCCGGACACTGTATACCGGGGGTTTAAAAATTGTGTTCGGATATTTTACCCAGTTACAGTTCTCATTAAGATAAACAAAAAAGTCTTAGTAAACTTAGGTCCTAAAATCAATTGTTTCAGATATATGTAGCTGATTTTACGTTGCTTTTCAATAAAGGTCATATCTAATCGTTTAGTCGTGTTACCCACCCAAAACAAAACACATTTTGTCCTTAGTTATTGTCAGTTTCACGTCACTTTCGCTGGTGTAGTTGGGTGCTTTTATTTCATGTAAACATGAATGAATACACAAATGCAGAAATGGCAGACATGCACTTTATGTACGGTGCTGCTAATGGTAACGCTTATGAGGCACGTCGCCGTTACTCGGAAACTTACCCTAACCGTAACATGCCTGTATCTGATAAATTTTTTACAAAATTGCATCAATGTTTGTCGGAAGTGGGTTCTTTTAAAACAACTCACCAGGATGCTGGTCGACCTCGATCTGTGAGTACTCCTGCAGTAGAAGAGGATATTTTGAGAAGGGTTGAAGAAAATCTAGGTACCAGTGTAACAAGGATCTCTGCTGCAGTTAATATTAATGCCTCTCTAGTTTGAATAATTTTACGTCAGCAACAATTGTATCCTTACCATGTTCAACGAGTGCGAGAACTTGTCGCTCCTGACTACGTTTCGAGAAGAACATTTTGTGAAGTAATGTTGCAGAAGTTTGCACAAAATTCGATATTTCATGCTAGTGTTTTATTCACTGACGTAGCTCCTTTTACAAAAGTCGATTTTGAATTGTCATAACAATCACGATTGGGCGGATGGAAATCCTCACGCTGTTGTGCAATCAAGAAGCCAGTATAAGTTTTCTGTAAATGTTTGACTTGGTATACTTGGTGACCGACTAATAGGACCAAAACGATTCTTCCTAATCGCTTAACTGGTGAAATTTATTTGGACTTTCTGCGAAACACTTTGCCGATATTATTCGAAGATGTACCTCTCTAGGATAGGTTACAAATATGGTTCATGCATGATGGCACGCCTGCAGATTTTGCGATCATTGTTCGTAATTTTCTTAATACTGAATGGATAGAAAGAGGAGTTTCAATAGTTTGGCCACCTAGATCACCTGATTTAAATCCTTTAGACTGTTTTGCATGGGGTTGCTTAAAATCATTAGTGTATTCAGCACCTGTTAATAACTTGGAGGATCTCCAGCAAAGAATACAAAACGCATGTGAGACTATTCGCCAATCTCCAGGAGTCTTCGAAAGAGTGTGCGATTCTTTTGTACGAAGATGTCAAGCATGTCTTCAAATGGAGGGAGGTCATATAGAGCATTTACTTTAAGCATTTTGTGTTCAGTTTTTATGCTGTTTGTATTTTCCCCAATTAAATAATCATTTGAAGACCAAGACGCTACATTCACTGATAACATTGGGATTGTTTATATCTTCAAAACCACTGCTTTTAGGACCTATGTTTACTAATTGTAAGACTTTTTTGGTTATCTTGATCAGAATTGAGAACTATAAGTGGGCAAAATATCCGAAGATAATTTTTAAACACCTGGTTTATATGTATACATACAATATGTTTTAATCTTAATTTATACAGAGTAACAAACTTCAAGGGGTGATTCTTTAGTGAATTTTAAGGGTACTTTGATATATGAACCATGGGCGACTTCGGCTCCCCTAAGGAGCTACACCCCTCCAAAAATGGCGGAATATTTTGGTTTAATTTGTTTTCGTCAAAAACCATAAACGCTAGGAAAATGAAATTTGGGGAATATGTTTAACTCATAATTGGGCATGTTTTGACCCTATTTGTACTTACAACCTACCCTTCTAAACTATTAAACGTAACCACCCCCTTTGCATTTTTGCGAAATTTTTTTTATGCAGATGATAAATACATTAGAAAAATTTTACATAGATAGATGAAAGTATTCTAAAACTTTTTTGTCTCTCTGAAATTTTTCCAAAAACGACTAATTTTTGAGAAAAAAAATAGTAAAGCAAACACTGCCCGTTAAACAACGGGGTTGTTGATCAAAAGTTGGAATGAATTTTGAATGAAAAAATCTTAGTAGGCTTTGCAATCTTTCTCAGAAATATTTTTGACGTTTAAATGTCAGTTTTTCTTACTATTAGTATTATTGTTTTTCAAATTAATTTTTGAATAAAGTTCTATCGCATTTACGCTCGTTCACTCGACGTTTCAAAATTTTAAATAAAACAATAATAAAGTAAGAAAACCACTGATATTTAAACGTCAAAAATATTTCTGACAAAGATTGCAAAGCCTACTTAGATTTTTTCATTAAAAATTCATTCCAACTTTCGATTAACAACCCTACAGCTTAACAGTTAGTGTTTGCTTAATTATTTTTTTCTCAGAAATTATTAATTTTTAGAAGAATATCAGAGAGACAAAAAAGTTTTAGAATAGTTTTATCTATCTAACTGAAATTATTTCAATGTATTTATCATCTTCATAAAAAAAATCTGGGCATAAATTGAACGGGGGTGGTTACGTTTAGTAGTTTAGAAGGGTAGGATGAAAGTACAAATAGGGTCAAAACGTGCCCTATTATGAGTTAAACATATTCCCCAAATTTCATTTTCCTAGCGTTTATGGTTTTTGAGAAAAAAAAATTAAACCAAAATTTTCCGCCATTTTTGGAGGGACGTAGCTCTCTAGGGGGCCGAAGTCGCCCATGGTTCATATATGAAAGTACCCTTAAAATTCACTAAAGAATCACCCCTTGAAGTTTGTTGCAGTCATTCAGATACACCCTGTATAATATGTAACCGGTTTGTTCAGTTGGTGTATTTTCATTGTACAATTTTCAGCATCGTGTGATGTATTCGTCCGGTTGCCTATTTTAATTTGTGACATAATTATTTTGACTGTTTATAATATTATTTAATATTGTTTTATTTATTTATTGAATCATATGTGCTACTTCTATACTTTCAAACTTAACATTTTCTTCAAATTTTGACGTACGTTATATTTTTATAACGATTTGTTAATTTAGTTTGATTGACGTGATGATTTTTTGTTTCCACTTACATAGATTTTGGCTGATGATGATTTAAAAGTCGAAACCGGTACCAATAAACATTCAAATACAAGCAAGTAAGAAGTTTTATATAAAATAATTTCCTTCATATAACTTGTAACATGGATTCCTACAATAATAAGTCTGACATGAATCTGAAATCTAAATCTGAAAATTATTTTAGCCTTTACTTGAAAGTAGTCCAGTACGAGTTGTGAACAGTCATGGTACAACCAAGTATTCAAAACTTGAAAACGAAATAGACAGTCCACAAAGGTTCATAAATGATACTTTGTCACAACAGCAATACATGACGAGGCAACAAGATGATCATCTTGAAGCCATCAGTGATTCATTGGGATCACTAAAAACCGTTTCAAGGCATATTGGAATGGAATTAGATGAACAGGCTGTGTAAGTTTTTTACAACATGTGCTAGAAAAGTGTAAAAACAGAGTTTTTATAAGAAAGTTGTTTGATTAATCTTCAAAAATTCTATAAAGTCACATTAATTTAATCTTGTGAGTTCACTCTACANAACATGTGCTAGAAAAGTGTACAAACAGAGTTTTTATAAGAAAGTTGTTGATTAATCGTCAAAAATTCTATAAAATCACATTAATTTAATCTTGTGAGTCTACAATACCACTTGAAATTTTATATAAGTTGGAAAATAAGGTGTAAATAATATTTGGGAATTTAAAAAATATTATAGCGTTTCTTCTTCTTTCAAGAGGCGAATAGCATGTTTAGGTTCGGTTACTGTCTTGATGACAATTAAGTGGTGCTCCTATAGTCTTGAAAATAATTGATTCCAATATTGTTATAGTTAAATTATGAAAATTAAAAGAAAAACCATGAATTATATTTCTTTTATTCAATTTCAGTGCTACATATTTCAAAATCTAAGAGATTTCTTCTTCAGGCACGACTAAAAGTATAAAACATATATATATTTTTTAAGTGAGAATAAAACTTTCATAAAATGACTTGAAAAATTATAACAAAATAGATGAAAAGTTAATATTTACCGTCAATTATGAGAGGCACATGTTTCTTAGCAAGAAACCGAAGAATAACTTTTTAAAAAACTTATAAAGACTCAGCGAAAGAATTTCTACCCACGTGTTAAATTATTTGTATTATAGGTGTTGACTCCTATACGGTGTGTTGTTTCGCATAATCTTGGCAATTCTGTCGGGACTTATCCAATTGACGTCTCATCCCTTTTACAGTTTTCTCTTATGGCAGTATTTCTTTGCCTGTCGTTTAATGTGTAATATGTGTATCCCGTTATTGCTCTTAGGACAGCGTTTCTCAACCATTCGGTATTCGGGGCCCAATTTTCAATAACAATTTGTATGGCGCCCCGCTACCTTTCTTTTTCATATAATAATAAAATACGACGTAAAAAAAATGTACAAGCATTTGTAAAACAAAAATGCCCGCAATGTGTCTGGCCCCATTGCATGATCCCCAGAGAGGCTCTGGCTTCCAAAAAAATGAATCCTGGTCGCAACATTGTGCTAACGACGTTTGTAACTGTAGTAAATTATATAAAAGTGAGACCCCTAAAATCAAGAATCTTTAATGCACTTTGCAAAGATAAGGGTGCAGAACGTCCGACGTTGCTATTTTATTGCGAGCCAGATGGTTATCGCATGGGAAATTTCTACAACGTGTTTATAAGTTAAAAGAGGAAATTGCCACTTTTCTAGAAGAGGAAAACCGCCCGGAAGCCGAAAAGTTTGGAGATGCTTTATTTGTGATGAAATTGAGTTACTTGGTCGTCATATTGGAGAAATTAAATACCCTGAATCTACAACTCTAAAGCCGTGTGTCCACTACCAAGTTTTCTTGCGGAAGTTCCAGAACTTTCAGAAGTTTTTGTCGTGTAAACACGACGAAAACATACGTGTTTACACGACAAAAACTTCTGGAAGCAACTTCCGTAAGAAAACTTGGTAGTGGACACACGGCTTAAGGAGCAAACACACATATATTGGATAGCAGTGATAAAGTTAGTGCTTTTTGTAGAAACTTGGAGCTGTGAAGCAGAAATGTGAAACAAAAAAAAACTAGAAATGTTTGCAAATACGAATGAGAGTGTCAAAACATACAAGGAAGAAGAACAGTACGTGAAAGTTGTTTTTGTAACAATAGAAAGTCATTGAGCCATGTTAGCACAGAATTTGAAAAAGTATTTTCTTGCTGACGACAATTGGTAGCAAGTTACAAGTGGGTTAGGGATCGATTTCGAACTACTCTTGAAGGTCTCTCAACTGCAGAAGAAATCTTGATAGACTTTACTACAAGCGTCGAAATCAAGAGAGTATTTAGTAATAAATCATCATATGTCATCACTAGTTGTACAGGAACTATCTCGGAAACTAGTCATTGTAGAAACTTGCGGTAAAAAATTTAATAACTGAAGTGGCTAAGAGAAAATCCTGAAAATTATTTTCAGGTTTCTAAGATAGCCGCTAGGGGGCGTAAGCGCCATCTTGAATTAGAAAATGCGGGTTTGCAGCATTATAGATGTCGTCTGCACTAAATTACATTAAATAGATATCGGATAGGCGAACCAACCAACCTTGCACCGCGACCCTAAGGATCTATTGTACCCCCATAGATATCGTTAACAAATTTCACCGTGCAGTCCAATGCTCTTCACGAACATTAATACCTTGCTCGGTGAAAGGTCATTCAGATCCTTTGAGGAGATAAACTGTTACCCAAAAATCGAGAATCTGATACATTTAACAGCAGAGCAGTGGCATAAAACATGCTCAACCGTCTCTGCTTCCTCCGCACAATGTCGGCATTCAACATCGTCGGCTAAACCCAACAAGTTGAGGTGTGCTTTTAATCAGCAATGCCCAGTAAAGACACCCATTAGAACTTTTATGCTGCTACGAGCAAGTCCTAAAAAGTTCTCGGGTTTGACAGTGGCGATGTTAATAAACACCTTAGCATGTCTCAACCCTGGAGAATTGGTCCATAGTAGGCTAAGTCCTTCTTCAGCCCACAGTCTAATCCTATATTTGGCCATCGCAAATGATATACCAACTGCTGGTTCCGGTCCCACAAATGCTTTAGCGCTGCTAGCTCATCTGGCGCTTCATTGCCAGCAACCCTACAGTGACCCGGAACCCAGATCGGAGAAACTCTGTTATCACAACTCAGTGTGTTTAATGTTCTCTTACAATCACTAACCAGAGCCGATACGGTTTTCACGGCTTGCAGTGCCTGGATAGCGGATTAGCGGATTAGCTTGACTGTCTGAGAAAATTCGTACTGTCATGTTCTTCACCCCTCTTTCAAGAAGGATTTTAGCACCCATGTCAATAGCAAATACTTCCGCCTGGAATGTACAGTACGTACCCAGGCTGTAGGTTTGCTTAATAATTCGAGGTGTCTGGCAGTATACTCCTGCTCCTACCCCTTCAGGCGTTTTTGATCCATCTGTGAACATGCAAATATCTGCCTGAACCAGAGAATTTTTATTTTCGATCCAGGACTGCCGCTCAGGCAGTACAATCTGGTATCGAACATTAATCACTGATAGTGATCCCGCCAAATCTGGCGGCATTGATAGTATAGTATCAGTGCTTATAATGCCTTCCGCAGCCATCTGTAAATGGTTGTTCTAGCCACTTTCACTATATGCAAATGCAGAGGAGATAGGCCAAGCAGAACTTCAATTGCTAGAGTTGGCGTTGTGCTTATCGCACCAGAGATTGCCAATCCAGCTACTCGTTGAATTCGTGAAAGTTTACCGATAACTGAAGTCTGTCGGACTTTCCTATACCAGGCTGCTGCTCCGTATGTGATCATAGGTCTAACCACAGTCACATAGAGCCAGTACAGTCTTTCAGGGGTAAGACCCCAATTTTTTCCACAAGGATAGTCGAGCTTTGTGCAAAATTCCCTGCAAATGTCCATTCCATGCCAAGGTTTTGTCTAGGATATTTAACTTCCTTTGAGAAAGGAATTTTTTTACCTTGGATAGTTTTGCGGATTAGTCCATCCAACTTTCGTTTCCTGGTGAAGGTCAAAACAATTGTCTTTTGCGGGTTTATCGAGAGGTTATCTCCCTTACACCAAGTGGAAATGGTATCTAGGTCGTCTGCACTAAAATATTTTTAAAAATTCACCGTGTTCTTTCTTAAATTTGATGTTCTGTTTTTTTTTTTCATTGAATTCCTTTAATTCTTTTTAGTATGCTAGATGAATTTGGAACTGAATTAGAAAATACTGATTCTAAGCTGGATTCAACTATGAAAAAAGTGGCGAAAGTTTTTAAATTATCAAATGGTATGATTTAATTATATAAAAATGATTTTTAGTTAATATTTTATTTTTTTTAGATCGTCGCCAATGGACAGCTATAATAATTTTATCAGTAATGTTAATAATTGTGATAATTTTATATTTCGCAATCTGATTTCCATTATTATTTCATTTAATTATTAATTTATCTAGCAAACTTACCTACAATGACTGTTATTGGGATATTAAAATAATAATAGTACAAATACGTTTTAGTGTTTTACACAGTTGTTCTGAATTAGTCAAAAGCTTGTGCTGCTATAAATGAATTAAAGATATTTTTATTTTACAATGCATAGTTTATTACATAATAATTATCTTCATTTTTTTGAATATACTATATTTATGATATACAATAATATATTTTACTGTAATTCTTTCGACTGTGCCATTGTAGTTATAGATTCCTTAAATAGATTATAATAATTGTGATTTAAATCCCCCCTTGGAGATTATATTATACATAAAACGTAATAAAATTATTTATTGATTAAATTCTTAGAAATAAAATGGTAGTAACATGTGTTTTCAGCACTTTAAATGTATTGACAAATATAGCGCAGGTATTTAATTGTAGCGATTTGTATTTGTAAATAGAAATGTTTGTCGTATGAATTAGCAAAGAAATAAAACATTTCATTTCACAATTATATTTTAATTGTTTTAATTCTATTTTTATGTTTTTATTTATGCATTTTTTAATTAGTTTTTGTAATTTATGTCATATCAACTAAAACGAAAAAACAAAAACAATAGTTATTAAGAGTGCTTATTTGAAAATATTGATTTTGAATTATCGAATATCACTTCAGCATTCCTGTTTTGCTGTTCTGCTTTGCTATGGAGGTTTGGTTATCGACACTCGTAACGGTCTATTTATTTTTTTTAACTATTGTATTGCTGTCACTTACGCCAAATATCACCAATTCATCACTTCATCACATTTTGATCACTTCATCACCAATTCATCAAATGGATTTTTATGTAGCCCTTCTTGGAAAAACTAACAAATTTACAACTATTTACAACATTNAACAAAGATAACAACAGACGAACTTAATATGATCAGATCAAATTGTCTAAATTTGTATAGCACCTTATGTTATGTAATAAGAAGTAGCATAGATATACTCCATTGCACTATCAAACTGTGCTTGGCTAAGATTTTCTCCCTTAAACCGATGATCCAACATATTTGTTAACAAGTGAGGAGGCTTGAAAACCTTTCTAACCGGTTTTGAACTTTTTGCACTTCTGTTTCTGTGAATTCTCCATTAGCATGCTCATCTTTGAATGATTTCAATAATTATACCCAAACTTAAGTTGCTTTGCTTAAAATGCAGTTTTTTTTGTACATTGTCTAATGCTACAGCAATATACTTTATTTTTTTAGGTAGTCTTGAGCAGCTGCTTTTTTTCCATCATTTACAAGATTTACAATTTCAGTACCTAATACCGCTCTATTTTCTGCGCAAAAGTTGTATAAAATGGGCTAGTTTTTTGATGTAACTTTCTAGGCAGTCCGCAAAAGTGCTGATCCACCGGCTTCTTTATATTTACTGGAGGCAAAATGAACATTTCGGAAATGTTTGCATTTTTTTTTGTTTTTTACGTCACAAGTTTCGAACTTTTCCTCCAAATCACGGGCTAACAAATTCAATATGTGGACAGAGCAACCGTAAGTAATAATGTCCTTGTGATCAAGTTCTTTGAAGCACTCATTTCTCATTTTAGTCATGTTTGCTGCACAATCTGTAACAACGCTGGTAACGTAACATTTATACTGACTGTCGCATTTTTTTATTGAAGTTGTTAATAATTTTAGTAAGTATTCCGCAGTATCACTGTGTCCGGACGTGTCTACGGAATCAATTAAATGAAATTGTTCATTTTCAACGTCTGTCACACACACGGCTATAATAGATTCATTATGAACATTGGTCCAGCCATCCAGAGCAACAGAAACGGTTTTATTAAACAATATTTCTTTAACTTTTGTCTGGATTGAATCATAAACTTCATTAAGTAACTGATTAGATACATCATATCGACTGGGAGGTGTGTATCCAGGTCGAAGGATGTTTATTAAATTTTTAAATTAATCTCTTTTCTACTGCTTGAAATACCGTATTTGTAGCATATATGTACTTGGCTATTTGAATATCAAGTTTCCTTTTTTGATTTCCTGTCATTCGTACCATAAAGATTTCTATACTTGATTGACATTCAGTTGTGGTGGGTGTGGCACTGACAATACAGGTAGCAGATGTGGAAGAAGAAGCTGCAATATATATGTCAAGAATAGCTTCTTTAGGTACAAATTAAAATTCATTTGCCATCAATACACGAAATTAAAATTCAAATACGTATTGAACATGTTGAACAACATTTCAAAATATTTGTGATACCCAAAATTAAAGAAGAATATTGAATTAAATAAACTAAACGCAATATATTCCTCAAAAATTTTAATTTATTTACAATTTGTTATAAATATCAGGGACGTTTCGGGAAATTTTCCATCTTACAGCCTATTAGGATCTTAAGCTTTCCTGTTATCATCTGTGTTATAACAATAAAAACGCAGCTGATAATAGGAAGTCTTTCATATAATATAACGTAAATCTACCTTCATCCATGTGTCGTCTTTTAGGTGCAGGTAAGTTGCTAGTTTCTTCTATCGTACTGCTCATACTTTGGCTATTCGGTATAGCGCATTTGCGAATATGTTTCTTTAAGCGAGCTACTAAGGCGACCATATTTAAACCACATTTTTTGCATTTAGCTCTGATTTTATTGTTAGCTTCTTTAATTTCATCGAAAAAAGACCAAACGGGGTCCTTCTCACGTCCCGTGATAGACATGTTTTCCTCCACGACCTCCACCGATGAGAACGAAACGTGTACTAATTGGAACTAATGTAAAATCGTAAAATCTACCCGAATATTTCGAACGTTGAAACTAAAAACGTCGAAATGATGGGAATCCCCGAATACTATCAATATCCGGTGTTCTACATAAACGGTTGAAAACGTTGTAAAACAGATTTAAAACACAATCTTTAAGCAGTGACGTAAAATTGGTTTAAAACAACAAAAAACTGTTGTAAANGGGATCCCCGAATACTATTAATATCCTGTTTTCTACATAAACGGTTGAAAACGTTGTAAAACAGATTTAAAACACAATCTTTAAGCAGTGACGTAAAATGGGTTTAAAACAAAAAAAACTGTTGTAAAACAATTAAACCCTGTATATAATCTAGAGTGCGTATGAGGTGGTGCTGGGGGTAATCAGAAAGTCAGACATATTTTATGTACCAACCTGAACTTAGCTATAGTTTCAAGTCTCTATTGTACTTACAAATCCCACAATTATAACTTCACAATTCTCATTAACATATTGTTATTTTTAGTAATATTTTATTTTTGTTGAAGATTTTCGAATTCTTTTTGTTTCACATATATTTTGATAGTTTGGTAGGTTGGAAGATTATTTACAACAGCCCAGAAAATGTTTCTGGTTACTTGATTTGAAATTAATAATTGAAGTTCAAGTAAAGATTATTATTAAGGAACGTTCAGTTCTTTTAAAATAAACTAACAATTATTTATAAGCAAAAGGTTAACGTGATCAATAAGAATTATTTTAAATATTTTCTTCTTAGTTTATATTAATTATAAGAGTTATTATTAAAAATTATTAAGTTCTTTTAAAATATTAATAATTAATAATTATTTATCAATAAAAAATTAATGTTTTGTTTTGATTATTATTTTCTGTCTTTCCAGTTTATAATAATGTAAATTCGTGCATAAGTATACAGGGTGTATAAAAAGTATGAAATAATGGTTCTACAGCCTAAACTTCAACTTATATTGAAAAAAGTTTTAAATAAATGTTATTTGAAACTATTTTCCGCATATCTTGGCGTAGAAATAAAATAAAAATGATGACGTCAGTCTGAGTTACGACATGGTGAGTGTGTTTTTTAAATGGAACAACCTGTATATTTTAAGGGTTTTGGTTTCCTTTTGACAAGGTGATGCAAAATGCCATAAGGTGTTAATGCTTTAAACTGCATAGTTTTCAGGATTTGAAACTTTTATTTAAAAAGATTTGACGTAGCGACAACCAAATTATGGCGTCATTATGGAATAGACAACTTAAGCCTTGACGTCACAGAGGTGGGCGGAGCTTATACCGACTCCAAACAATTTCGTTGCTAACCACAGTTGCTAAGATAAATAACAATAAAAATATCATTTAAAATGTCATCTAAAATGTCACTTAGTTTATTTTATTTTAACACTAATAGACAACCTAAGCCTTGACGTCATAGAGATGGGCGGAGCTTATACCGACTCCAAACATTTTCGTTGCTAATAGACAACCTAAGCCTTGACTATTGAAAAATTGCATATGGGGATATTTCGTTAGCAACACAGTTAGCAACGAAGATGTTTGGAGTCGGTATAAGCTCTGCCCATCCCTGTGACGTCAAGACTTAGGTTGTCTATTCCATAATGACGCCATAATTTGGTTGTCGCTACGTCAAATCTTTTTAAAGAAAAGTTTCAATATCTCGAAAAGTATGCAGTTTAAAACATTAAAACCTTATGGCATTTTGCAACACCTTGTCAAAAGAAATCCAAAAACCTTAAAAGATACAGGTTATTCCATCTAAAAAACACACTCACCATGTCGTAACTCAAACTGCCGTCATCATTTTTATTTTATTTCTACGCCAAGATATGCGGAAAATAGTTTCAAGTAACTTTTATTTAAAACTTTTTTTAATATAAGTTGAAGTTTAGACTGTAGGACCATTATTCCAAACTTTTTGTACATCCTGTATATAAGAATTTCGAATTTCCCGCTAAGTTGGTACATCTAACATAGCGACCTTTCTGGCTTCATTTTGCGTGGTGGGGACAACAGCATACGCACTCTAGATTATAATTATAAGACCTCAATGATGTTACTCTTGTCTATAGATATACAGTGCGTTTCAAAAGTAACGGATAAATTCGATAAACTTATTATAAAAAATTTATGAAAAAATCGCTGAAACGGGTCTAAAGATTTAAATTTTTTGCAATTTTTTGTTGTATATTTTAAATTTTTAAACGAGTTATGACGTCATCGAATTTTTTTTTTTAAATGTAACCCCATTTTTTATATCGGAATTTGAAAGAGAATTTTTTTCTGAATTATGTACAATAAATATTAATATCGGTTACATAAGAAAATTTTCGTGAAAAATTAATTTAAAGTTTCATTATTTCCCATTCATTTGATATAAAAAATAGTAGTAGTCGTGCGTAACCATGGCAACTAAATGTTTTGATTTAAAATTTCCAAGTGTCAAAATTCGATTTGAAACAGTGTATTGTGCGTTAATGAGATTATTTTGAGTAGTATTGTGGAGTTTCTTGTGTTAATTGTTGTTATTCATTGTTATTCGTTGTTATTTGTTGCTATTTGTTGCTATTCATCGCTATTGTTTAACGAAAAACATCCAAA